TGATATGCTCACACAAAAATCGCTGCAAAATATGCTTTCCAAAGGTTTTATCGTAGTTTTTGTCCAAGTCCATTTTCTTCCTGTTTTTGGTCGAAGTCAACATTAGACGATTATCGAGTTTGCGTGCGCGATCCTTAGTTATCTAGTTACCAATGATCGCGCACGTGAACTCGACAATTTATTACTGTGGACTTCGACCGAAAACAGGAAGAAAATGAAGTCGGACAAAAACTACGATAAAACCTGTTGGAAAGCATATTTTGCAGCGATTTTTGTGTGAGCATATCAGTGAACACCCCAGACCACTCGGTGAGTTTCACGTCTTTGTAAACTAAAGTTTTATGCGTTTTAATGAATGATTGTTCGAGTGCACCTATGCTACCATTGTAAAGGTGGGGGGTGCTAACTCAGAATCCAAAAATTCTCGTGATAGCAGCATCTGTCTAAAAAACAATCTTAACCATTCTATTTCATCAGGGACGATCTTAAAACAGGGCTTTAATTGTAAAATACCGAACTTGTCCTTTAATTATTAATTCTGTTTTTCTGAATTACGTTTTAGATAATCAAATCATTAATTTAGAAAAACAGATCAAAAAACATTTTCTATGAAAAATTATCTCGTAATTCTGAGATAATTAATTCGTTAATTCAGAAAAACAGAGTAGATTTTTTTCTTTCAGTTTCAAAATTCTTGTTTTTACATATTAGAAAAACAAGAATTACATTATAGGTTTTTACAGAGGGGATTTTGGATATCTCTTTTTATGATTCTTTAAATCAGAAAATATGCAACAGCCACTGCAGCCAGAAAATTATTGAAAACATGTTGTATAAAATCAGGGAAATTATATATGAACAAACCCCTCAATATTCTTCAGAATATAGATATGAATAGAAGTGTTGCTGAAGTGGAGGAAAAATCTCATTTTGAGAACATGGCCTTTAAGATATGTACTGAAACTGATGAATATTGCTGACTATATAATAATATTACATTTTATACAAAATGTTTATTTCAAGCTCAACGAGACACTTTCTTTTACTGAACATAATTGTAGTTTTTATTAAACTGCAAAAGAAAAGAACAAACATTAAAAGGGCAGTCATTTACCAGTCAAACACAAATATTAACTTATAACGACTGAGTTAAACTGTTAAAAACGATTATGTAGCAACTAAATGAATGAAAGGGGGAAAACTTCTTAAGTTAAAACTTAATACACAAATAATTGATATCTAGAATAATTCCGCTACATGCATTTTAGGAGAAACACCCATATTATAACATTAAAGTCTGTTAAATAAAACACACAAAGCTATTGTGATGAAGACATGTGTTTCCACAGAGCGCTTCATTTAAAAGAACTAAACTCATCTTGAGATTGAGAAACACACTCAACTCTTCTAGAAATTCATCAGCATTTGAATCTCACATCAGCAAAAGATTCACATGTGATATATGAACTGTTTCCTCTTGAATTATCTCAGATGATGATAATGATGTGCAGCGCCACCTGGTGAGAGCAGTGTGTTATAGCATCTCTCACTCACACCAAACCTCTGTGCAGGATGAGGAGATTGTAAATGACACACTGAACCGAGAGAAACGAACATCCCTTGGGTTGACACACACACGAACATACGAACACACGGACGCGCAAACTGCTTCAAGTCACGGCTGATTTTGGCTTATTTCCCTTTCCTTTAAAGTCACGAAACATGCACGAAAAACAAACTGATAGTAATAACTAACACTTCCGGAATGTTCTGATGTCGCTTCCTCCAGACGACAGGAAGTTGGGGCTGTAGTGAAACATCCTTTTGACACATTGACTTGTTTAAATAATATCACAAACTACCATTAAAACCAGGTAAAATTCTACCAGTGCAAAGTTCAGTCCGGTCTGGATTGTGATTGGCTCACTTCTGCTGCTGCTGCTGCTGTTGTTTTAGACTGGCCAATAGGATCTTCTTATGGGCGGGGTCACGAATGCCCGCCTCCTCCAGATCCTCCTCTGTGATGTCACTGCAGGAAAGACACGAGATTGGATGATGGTTTCATCTTTGTATATCAATCCAGCTCTTAATTCAAATTCTTCATAAAACTAAACCATTATGAAAATCTTAATCACACTGGACTCTGATTGGCTGTTTCCGAGCAGCTGAGAGACATAGCAGGTGTTTGTGATATTTTACACCGGAATAATGTGACACTGATGAACTTTTATAGACATAATGCATGGGAAGGATACATTACTAATTGAAAAACTGGAAAGCTGCATGACTCACTACATTTGTTAAAGCTTATGATACTTTTATGGCGCTTTTGCAATTTGCACCTTTTAATATTTGTATTAAAATGTTAAATATTTTACCATTAATATTTTATTAAATTACAAAAATTAAATCTCATTTCATTTTGTTATAGTAATAATACTGTACTACACAGTACTGTCAATGAAATATTTGATATTATAATAATAACTTAAACTGTGTCAGAGACTCGTACCTGAGGAACTCCAGATCGTCCCAGCCGTTGTGCAGAAGCCCTTCCTCATAATGCTGGAGCCCGAGCCTCTGGAGCCACTCGCCAACACTGTCCTCTACTGACACACTGCTGCCCTCGTCGTGCCACAGGCCCTGCACACACACACACACACATTTCGTTTTATTGCACACGTTCAAAGCACACTCTAACATCTGCACCAATACACACATACAATTACAGCTGCGTAATCTAATCTGCATAATTGATCTAATTGGCTTTATAATATGCAGAAGCAGAAAAAAAGGAATAAAGCAAGTTTTTGCTTTAAAGGCCAAACCTGAGAAAATGGCATCATCTGGTGTGTGTGTGTGTGTGTCTCACCTCCTCTGGCAGGTCTTCAGCAATGCTCTCCTCCTGTATGGATCGCGGTGGGAAAGTCAAGCCTCTCATGTGAGAAGACGCCGCCCCTTTCCCGACTCCGCCCCTTTCTTTCCCGACTCCGCCCCTTTCTCTCCCGGACGGATACTCCACTTCGCTCAGCGTCTTCGCCATTTGTAGAACGGAACACGACTGGTCGTCTAGTGCAGAAGCTCCGCCTCCTCGGCGGAAAGGGGCAGAGCTAGGGTTCAATATGGGCGGAGCCTCCAGACAGAAGGCCACGCCTCCTCCCCCAGAGGGAGACAACAGCGGTTTGGACGGGATCTTGACGTCGGCGAGGTCCGGAAACATTCGCGGTTTTCCGAATGAGTTTTCAGGGATTTCTTTGGAAGCGGGGAGGAGGGAAATCTGGCGGAGGGCGATTGAGTGACGCGACGTGAGTCCCGACGTTCCCGTCGTCTTCCGAAGATCCCTCTTCGCTGATTGGCCGAACCGGGTGCCAGCGGCCCGCAGCCGAACTCCCACTGGGAGGCTTGTTCTTCCCCACAGGAGCTGCTGTTTTATTGGCTAGTGGAGGGAGGGCGGAGCCTGGGAGCTGTTCGGTGGCCAGGACTGCTGATTGGTTGGGAACGCCCTCGAGAATGTAGTAGGCGGGGTTATTGAAGCTGTTCTTGCAGGTTGTGGCGTCGCCATCAAACGGGTCCTGTTTGAGTCTGATAAACCAACAACAGTCAGGGTTAATATCGGTGAGTAGAACCATGTGAGGGTGTGTGAGAGATTGTGTGTGTGTGTGTGTATCCACCTGTTCTGTGTGCTGTCCTCTTTAAAGGAGTGTGTGTGTGTGTTTCTCCCTGTGATGCTCTTGTCTCCCTCCTCTGAAACCTTCCCGAGGTCAGCTGACCCTAACTTCCTGCTGGTGGACGGTCTACAGGACCAGAATGAAACACTCACTTCACTGGGCCGCTTACAGAAACAATAATCATGTTAAGAAATGAATGTTTCAACGTGAACTCACTTGACGTAATCGTGTGTGGCTCTGGGAGGAAGAGTTCTGCCTCTCGATCCGCCAGTCTCGTCCTTATCAACACTGATCCACTCTGAAGACCAGAGAGAGAGAGAGAGAGAGATACTCATATACTCACTCACACATATACTCACTCATGTACTCACTCACACACTCACTCATACATATACTCACTCACTCACTCATGTACTCACTCACACACTCACTCACACATATACTCACTCATGTACTCACTCACACACTCACTCATACATGTACTCACTCACTCACTCATGTACTCACTCACACACTCACTCACACATATACTCACTCATGTACTCACTCACACACTCACTCATACATGTACTCACTCACTCACTCATGTACTCACTCACACACTCACTCACACATATACTCACTCATGTACTCACTCACACACTCACTCACACATATACTCACTCATGTACTCACTCACACACTCACTCATACATGTACTCACTCACTCACTCATATACTCACTCACTCACTCATGTACTTACTCACTCACTCACTCACACACTCATGTACTCACTCACTCATGTACTGACTCATATACTCACTCACTCATGTACTCACTCATGTATTCACTCATTCATGTACACACTCACTCACTCACTCATGTACTCTCACTCATGTACTCACTCACTCATTAATGTACTCACTCACTCATGTACTCACTCACTCATGTATTCATTCACTCATGTACTCACTCACTCACTGACTCACTCACTCACTCATGTACTCACTCACTCACTCACTCACTGACTCACTCACTCACTCACTCATATACTCACTCACTCACTCACTCACTCACTCATGTACTCACTCACTCACACATACACACACACACACACACACACACTCTCAGTACCGTAGAGTCTCTCTCTGGTCCCCATCCTCTCTGACGGGACTCTGACTCTCATGGATCCGCGGATGTTTCCCGTTTCCTCGCCGCGGTGAGAGAGATACGTGTGAAACTGCTGCGCCGTGCTGCCAATCATCGACTTCAGCGCCAACACACACTCCCCTGCACACACACATTAGAAATGCATGCAAAACAATACATAAATCCTCTTTATGGATAAGTCTATTTTCTGAAACTAGAAAAATGTCTTGTTTTTTTGTTCCAAGAAACCTTGACTAACACAAGCGATTTAATTTAATTTAAGAGTAATTTAATTTAACAAACCCAGCAATACTCGGAGAAAGGCAGAGTGCTTCATCAGAATACAGATCATCATACAGCAGGAGTCGAGACTGTATTCTCAGCACAACCACAAGATGGCGCTGCAATAGTTTCTGAAACTTCATACAGTCTGAAGAGCAAGGCTCTGAAAAATTTGACTTTTTTTTTTTTTACTTCATCAGAATGGTGACTTGGTAAAGGTTTTGGCACTTGCTGGGTGAACACAAATCATGGACATGACTCGAACAGGTTAAATCATCCTGTAACAAATAGTCCCATATGTTTGTACATTGTAAACGAATGAGTTTCCTCTAGTGGAAGCGTTCAGTACTGCAGCCGAACACACACTCACACTCGTTTACTGAGAGATCAGACTCACATGTGGAACACAACTTCTTTAGATTTATTTTCTTACAGTTTTATATTAATAATGTTTTTGAAAATATACATTTCATATCAAATTTTTGCACATTTTTAATTACAATAAACCTAAAATTCTGTAATGTTTTTTTTAAGTTGAATTTTTTAAAGGGTTTTTGCTTCTGCAATGAGTTTGAAAAGAGATCAAACGCAAAACGTCTGCGACAATTTCATGTCTACGCTCAAAAAGTGAATACATGGATTATAAATACAGCGTACATTTAATTCAGTACCATTAAATCCACAAAAAGTACAAAATATTGAATTAAAACCATTATCGAAACAAAAATTCCGATCATTTTTGACCGACACGTGAAGAGCACCTGATGTGATTCAATTCAATTCACATTTATATGTATAGCGCTTTCACAATAAGCAGCTGTACAGAAAGTGCAGCAGATGTGATGTCACACACACACACACACACACACACACCGTATGACTCGTATCCATCCAGAGACTTGACGGTGAGCAGCAGGTGCTGGTCCTGCAGGTACTCGATGTCGGATAAGATGGGCTTCAGTGTCGTCAGCTGTTTGGACGACCAGCCCACGCGCAGGAAGTTCACGTTATCACTGCTCTGAGTGTCGTTCTCATAGCTCTTCTTAAACTCTAAACACACACACGAGACGTTTATACATTAGTAAAACACAGTCAATAGTGTGGTAGACTAACGTTTTTCACCCAGATGGGTTCATCCTGGACGTGCACAAGTAAAAGTCCAGTTAAAAAGCTCAAGGGACGTTTCTGACAGATTAACCCGAGGAAGAATATTTCATTCTTTATGCAACAATTAAATATGAAACTATTGATGTTTATTACAATGCATTTTTTAATTATTTTATATTTTAATATCTTTAGAATTACTTTTATCAACATTTTTCAGTGATGAATTTAATAAACAATAATATTTAATTATATATTTTTTATGCACCAATATAACAATGCATAGTAATAAACATCAATAGTTGCATATTTAATGCAATATATATTTGCGTATTTTTATTTAAAAACATTTTAATATATTTAAACAACATTTTTAAGTGACTACACAAATATTGAATTATATTAATGTAACAATGCATGATTAAAGTGCATATTTAATGCAATATTTAATTAGATATTTCTACTAAAACATTGTAATTTTTATTATAAGAATAAATAATATAAAATAATTTTTAAATACATTGATTTATATGCACTAATATAAAAATACACAGTAAACATCAATACTTATTGCAACAGTTAATTGCATATTTTTTGTAAAACACTTTAATATTTTTAAATGACGTTCATATTTTCAATGATTTTTTCAGAACAAATCAGTGAATCAATTCATCAAAACAGTTTGAACTGATTCACAGAAACTATTACCAAATATTTGCTAAGTATGATTATTATTTGCATATATATTTACATATATAGTATATTTACTATACAAATATATAATTCTTTATTTATTATACTATTTTGATCGCTAAAATCCCTGTGAAAGTGTGATGAATATTTGCTCGCTCAGATTGTCCGTGATGATGATGATGATGATGATGATGATGATGATGAACTGATGATGATCTTCACTCACCCTCCAGACACGTGGAGTAGAACTCGATGAAGAACTTGGTCCTGCTGGCGGTCTTCACGATGGCCTCGATGTTCTCGAACTCGATGTACGCTTGTTCTGAAGACTTGGGCAGACCTGAGGAGGAAGAGCATCTCAGAGACCACAGCGAAAACACTCTGATCACACACACACCGTACCTTAGAGACAAGCAACACACTGATCACACACACACACACACACACCGTACCTTTCTTAGAGACGAACTGAGACGTCACGCCAACCTCGAACGTGCCGAACACAGGAGAGTGATCACTGGTGACGATATCATCTGTACAGCCTGACACACACACACACACGCACACATTATTTACATATTCATCTGATGCAAATCAGCCTCAATAACTGCCAAAATGGCACTGGATTTTATTACACACTTTTATCATCTCAGATTGTGAGACTGAATCTGCATTTACTATGAAATGGTTCCTTCACGCTGATCCACCAACGCCAACAACAAGTTTTATTGTTTAATGCAAAAAAAATAAATCCAGAAAAAATAAGCAATGCATGTTTTTTTGATGACAATTTAAGTCAGCAACAGTAAAAGTGCTCAAAAATTAAAAGTGCTCGGTAATAATGACATTTAGTTATTTGACGATTATATACATGTGTGTATATTATGATTTATATTGATTTATATAATGAAAGATATTTCTACTAAAATATTTGTATTTAGAATGACTTCTGTCCACATTTTTCAGTGAAAATGCGAAAACAAATGAGGATTTTTCTACTTAATGGAAAACTAAAATACAAGAGTGTTATAATAACATAATAATAATGATGATTTTATATATATATATATAAATGATAAATAAATATATATATATATAGTAATATAAACTAATTTTAAAATTAGTTTTGAAATTATTATGAAAAAAATAAAATAAAATAAATAAAATTATGAAATATTATTGTAATGTAAATCATCTGTTGTCTATGTGAATATACAGTAAAATGTAATTTATTCCTGTGATCAAAGCTGAATTTATCATCATTACTCCAGTCTTCAGTGTCACATGACCCTTCACAAATCACTCTAATATGAGGATCTGATGATCAACACACAGTTATGATTATTATCAGTGTTGAACACAGTCACGCTGCTTTAGATTTCAGTGGAAACTCATATTTTTGATGATATTGAATAAACACTTTTATGGGTAAGGCATTAGCGAACGGCGTACCGTACGAGTTGCAGACGATGTGCGTCTCAGGATACGATTTCCAGAGGATTCTGTCGCACCACGAGGGAACGTTGGTCCGCATCTGAGAGACGAGAGAGAAGGAACGCAGGAGGCATTAAGGAATGCAGGACGCTTCACTTCCTGTGGCAAAGGTCAGGTGACAGGAAGTAGCCGCCTCAGGACTCGTCTTTCATGAATGTGAGCTTCTTTATAGGGATAGTTCACCCGAAAATGAAAATTATACTGATTTACACATCCTAGGTGTGTATGGACACTCTTCTTTCAGACACACACAATCAGAGTTATATATTCAAGGGGTGGTAAAGTATGATTTCACTTTTCTAACTGTAGTTAGTGTGTAGTGTCGCTGTTTGAGCATAAACAACAGTATCAAAGTTACAACGCTCAAAGTTCACAGCAATGGCATTTTACCAGCCCTTCTGCAGTTTTATGGCTTGGAAGAGCAAGAACATTTATTAATATGATTTTATTTATAATTTAAACATATAATATAATTTCTAATTTTCATATTTGTGTGAACTATCCCTGTAAGATCTGTGTTAGTGTGATGTGAATGATTTACCCCGGTGGCTTTCTGCTTCTGCCAGACGTACGTGTCCCGCGAGCCGCGCTCGTAACGGTACGTGGGGGGGTAGGTGATCTCCTCCTCCGCTGGACACACACACACACACACACACACACACACAGGATAGGAAGTGTTGATGAGCCAAGAGACACACATCTCAAAGGCATGTTTAGATAATCTAGCGGAAAAACTCTAGAACAAACATGCGTTTAAAACACGAAACAGTAGAAATGATGATAAAAACTGTCCATACTTGAACATGAAGTTATATTTCTCACAGAATACGTCCAGGCTTTCAGTAATTAGTCAATTATTTAATAAACAGTACTTATTAATCTTTGTTAACATTAGTTAATAACTTAACAACTGTTCAATGATCATTTATTTAATAATATTAAAAGTGTTAACAATAAGATATATAATTGTATAAATACTATCATGTTAAATACCTGAGATTCTTAATATTGCAAAGGTTTTTAAATAACACAAATTAAAGGCTGTACAACAAACAGACAGACACAAACACACAAACACACACAATCACTCACACGCTGACGCAGACGCACACAAATAAACAGACACACACGTAAACACACACACACGTAGAGTCAGAAGTGAGCCGCACCGAAGCGAAGGAAGACCTTGTTCTTCTCTCTCTCCAGATTCAGCTGGTCCACCTTCAACAACGGCTCGAACTCCTTCCTGTTGATGAAGTTGAGGATTTCCTGAGAGAGAGAGAGAGACGTCACAGCTGTTACAGCGATACACTCCTGCGGACACTACTGTCCTGCACTGTGGAACTGTGGGATACACAACAGTGACACGGGTCCTCCAGGTCTTCACACAGAAGCTTCATATGCGGATCACATGACTCACACTGCGATCGCACGCAACATGACGCCTGCGAATGCTTCATCACAGCGACTGCTCGTCCCAGTGGACGAAACCATGCGTTATCGATAATAACGCGTTTAATAACGGGATAGAACAAAGTAAAACGGTAAGTTCCGTCTCACACAATTTATTTCTCAAATAGCAACTTTTTCCCTTGCATCTTTTTTTTCTCGTAATTGCGAAATTGTTCCATTACTGCGAGTTTATATTCCGCCATTCTGACTTTATTTAGCACAATTGCGACAATTTTCCACAATTACGAATTTATATCCCGTAATTGCAATTTTTTCCCATAGCTAAAAGTTTATATTTCTCCACTCTTACTTTATTTGTCACAATTGCGATTTTTTTTCCACAATTACAAGTTTATATTTCGCCATTCTGACTTTATTTAGCGCAATTGCGACATTTTTCCACAATTACGAATCGTAATTACAATTTTTTCCCATAGCTAAAAGTTTATATTTCTCCACTCTTACTTTATTTGTCGCAATTGCGATTTTTTTTCCACAATTACAAGTTTATATTTCGCCATTCTGACTTTATTTAGCGCAATTGCGACATTTTTCCACAATTACGAATTTATATCCCGTAATTGCAATTTTTCCCATAGCTATAAGTTTATATTTCTCCACTTTTACTTTATTTGTCGCAATTGCGATTTTTTTTCCACAATTACAAGTTTATATTTCGCCATTCTGACTTTATTTAGCGCAATTGCGACATTTTTCCACAATTACGAATCGTAATTGCAATTTTTTCCCATAGCTAAAAGTTTATATTTCTCCACTCTTACTTTATTTGTCACAATTGCGATTTTTTTTCCACAATTACAAGTTTATATTTTGCCATTCTGACTTTATTTAGCGCAATTGCGACAATTTTCCACAATTACGAATTTATATCTCGTAATTGCAATTTTTTCCCATAGCTAAAAGTTTATATTTCTCCACTCTTACTTTATTTGTCGCAATTGCGATTTTTTTCCACAATTACAAGTTTATATTTCGCCATTCTGACTTTATTTAGCGCAATTGCGACATTTTTCCACAATTACGAATTTATATCTCGTAATTGCAATTTTTTCCCATAGTTAAAAGTTTATATTTCTCCACTCTTACTTTATTTGTCACAATTGCGATTTTTTTCCACAATTACAAGTTTATATTTCACCATTCTGACTTTATTTAGCGCAATTGCGACATTTTTCCACAATTACCAATTTATATCTCATAATTGCAATTTTTTCCCATAGTTAAAAGTTTATATTTCTCCACTCTTACTTTGTCACAATTGCGATTTTTTTCCACAATTACAAGTTTATATTTCGCCATTCTGACTTTATTTAGCGCAATTGCGACATTTTTCCACAATTACGAATTTATATCTCGTAATTGCAATTTTTTCCCATAGTTAAAAGTTTATATTTCTCCACTCTTACTTTGTCACAATTGCGATTTTTTTCCACAATTACAAGCTTATATTTCGCCATTCTGACTTTATTTAGCGCAATTGCGACATTTTTCCACAATTACGAATTTATATCTCGTAATTGCAATTTTTTCCCATAGTTAAATTTACATTTCTCCACTCTTACTTTATTTGTCGCAATTGCGACATTTTTCCACAATTACAAATTTATATCTCGTAATTGCAGTTTTTTCCCATAGTTAAAAGTTTATATTTCTCCACTCTTACTTTATTTGTCAATATTGCGATTTTTTTTCCCACAATTACAAGTTTATATTTCGCCATTCTAACTTTTTTCTCGCAGTTGCGACATTTTCCACAATTACGAATTTATATCTCATAATTGCACATTTTTCCCATAGTTCAAAATTATAATGTCTCCATTCTTACTTTATTTGGCGCAATTGCGAATTTTTTTTCACAATTACAAGTTTATTTTGTAATTTTTTTCCTCGTGATTGCGGGTTTATTTTTCCACAATTCTGACTTTTTTCTTCAATTACAATATTATATCTTGCCATTCTGACTTTATTTTTTTTCATTACCGACATTTTTCCACAATTGCAATTTTATATCTCGCAATACTGACTATATTTCTCCCAATTAAAACTTTTTACCACAATTACGAGTTTATATCTTGCAATTGAGACCCAAGTCAGGTACAGATAAAATACCATAATATCTCATTAGATCTCATTGTACACACAGCAGACCATAACATCCAGAGCAACACACACACACAATGCTTTTATCAAAAGACACAGACACAAACAACCCACCTCTATGCTTTTATCAAAAGACACAACCAAACACCAGTGGTGGAATGTAACGAAGTACAAATACTTCGTTACTTTACTTAAGTACATTTTTCACGTATCTTTACTTTTTACTTTTACTTCGTTACATTTTGCAGCAATTATTATACTTTCTACTCCACTACATTTCTACAACTTCTGTTACATTTGCATTACATTTTCTGATCAGTTTTTCCCCTGCCAAAACGTAATCTGACCGTTCGTTCGTTGCACGTTTGTCTTACCAGTGACGTTTGGTTGCCATAGATACAGTATATCAACCCGGTCACACTAAATGCGTCTCACACGCAGTGTGTTTATCGTGTAACTCATACGCGAAAATTTGTTTTTACGTGCATAGGAAACACACCGTGTGTAATATATGTTTGGTTTGGTTAGGATTATGGCAAGCCAAGAGGTTCAGAATTACACCATAAATTAATCTCGTTTACTGCCAAACATAGTTATTAACATAAGTTAGTAAGGATAAGCATGTTTATATTGCCTAATTGCAAGCTTGTTTCAGAAATGGTGACATTTTTTTCCATCATTATTGAACATCATTATAGGAGTAGGCTATTAGGTTGAATGAGTTAGAATTAAATGTTTTATTAATCATTAGAAAATAGACATTAAGATAATAAATTGTTATGCAAGTACTTTTACTTTTAATACTTAAAGTACATTTAAAATAAAGTACTTTTTACTTTTTACTTAAGTATGGTTGTTATTGTGTTACTTCTACTTTTACTAAAGTAAATATTTATCTGGGTATTTGTACTTTTACTTAAGTACTGAGATTCAGTACTTCCTCCACCACTGCCAAACACACACACACCTCAATGCTTTTATCAAAATGGTTTATGTGTTTGGTGGCTTCACCTGGATGTCCATGTCCAGCCGGTAGTTGAGGTCGCCGAACCAGAAGAGATGCGTGAATCTCAGCGAGATGTCGAAGGAGTTCAGCTGTTTATCGCCCAGCGACAGCTGACGCAGGATATCCAGATAGTTCTGGTTGCGTCTGTCAGGGGTCAAAGGTCATTAGTAAAGAAAAAAAAAACACTGAATTGTGTATTTGCTGGTCAGTGTTTCGACACACACCTGTGGATTTTCTCATTGCCGGACGTCAGGTGGCAGTTAACGAACCCAAAGGATGTTCCATTAAACATGAAGGACACGCCCACTGCTCCTTTGTTTCCTAGAATAAATAATAAATGCATATAACCGAATCAAAACTGGCGGTTCATGTTCTTCCTCAGAATTTGCGTCTTGTTTTCCAGTACAAAATCTAAACGGGACAAAAACACTGAGATAGACAGTCATTTATAAACACACACACACAGAGAGAGACAAACACACACCCATACATACACGAAGAAAGTAATGTTCTGCAGTGTTTGAGTGTGTTTGTGTGTTCTGACCGAGTGTGTTTGCGATCCCCGTTTTGACGCTGGACATTCCCACGTGACTGATGCGGTTCTCGTGCTCCGCCTTCACCAACACCGCGATCTTAATGTTCCACAGCGTCTGCACTGCAACCTGCAACACACAAGCCACACACTCATTCCTGCTCCACTCGTTAAACTGACTGTGGAACAACCCCGCCAGACGACAAAAACACACATTAAACTCTAAATAAAGTCACAGTCATAACAGTCGTACGTCATTAAAACGGCATCTGTCTGCCGAGGAGCCAGTGGTTTCACATTACATAAGGTTGTGTTGTGTTTGATACATCTCAGGGGTTTGTTCTTCAAAACTCTAAACAGGCCCTGAAACACTGACACACACTCGCTCACCGGTTTATAGTCCATCTCTGTGCATTCCTTGAGGGCGGAGCGGATCGTTTCCACCCATTCCTTATCACACACAGAGTTCTCCTGCGTACCGAACACATAGATGTCATGAGGGATCGTGACCGCCATCTCATCCAGAGTTTTCCCCAAGCCTCGAGAGGAGATCCACGATCCCATCGATTTAGGAGCAGGAACGCCGCCTGCAGAGAGAGGCGGAGACTATGACACAACGACAAGGGCATTTTTATGAGAAATGTTTTGCACGCCACCATGATGGTCGTCAGGGTGTTGTGGGTGGTCGTCAGGCTGTTGCTAGGTTGTTGTGGGTGGTCGTCAGGGTGTTGCTAGGGTGTTGTGGGTGGTCGTCAGAGTGTTGCAAGGGCGTTGTGGGTGGTCATGGCCATTGCTAGGGTCTTGTGGGTGGTTAGGGTGTTGCGGGTGTTCTTCAGGGTGTTGCTAGGGTTTTGTGGGTGATCATAGCCGTTTCTAGGGTGTTGGGGGTAGTCGTCGATAGGGTGGTGCGGGTGGTCGTCGATAGGGTGTTAAGGGTGGTCGTCGATAGGGTGTTGCTAAGGTGTTGTGGGTGGTCATTAGGGTGTTGCATGTGGTCCTCAGGGTGTTGCTAGGGTTTTGTGGATGATTGTTAGGGTGTTGTCGGTGGTCATAGCCATTGCTAGGGTGTTGGGTGTAGTCGATAGGGTGTTGCGGGGTGTAGTCGATAGGGTGTTGCAGGATGTCGTCGATACGGTGTTGTGGGTGATCGACAGGGTTTTGCTAAGGTGTTGTGGGTGGTCATAGCCGTTGCTAGGGTGTTGGGGGTAGTCGATAGGGTGTTGCGGGATGTCGTCGATAGGGTGTTGCGGGTGGTCGACAGGGTTTTGCTAAGGTGTTGTCGGTGGTCATAGCCGTTGCTAGGGTGTTGGGGGTAGTCGATAGGGTGTTGCAGGTGGTCGACAGGGTTTTGCTAAGGTGTTGTCGGTGGTCATAGCTGTTGCTAGAGTGTTGTGGGTAGTCGATAGGGTGCTACCAGGTGGTCGTCGATAGGGTGTTGCATGTGGTCCTCAAGGTGTTGCTAGGGTTTTGTGGATGGTCATCAGGGTGTTGCTAGGGTGTTGAGAGTAATCATTATGGTGTTGCCAGAGTTTTGTGGGTAGTCGTCTGGGTGTTGCTAGGTTGTTGTGGATGGTTGTTAGAGTCTTGCTAGAGTGTTCATCAGGGCGTTGCAAGGGTGTTGAGAGTAATCGTTATGGTGTTTCCAGGGTTTTGTGGGTGGTCGACAGGGTGTTGCTAGGGTGCTGTGGATGGTTGTTAGAGTCTTGCTAGGGTGTTCATCAGGGCGTTGCTAGGGTTTTGAGAGTGGTCGTTATGGTGTTGCTAGGGTGTCGTGGGTGGTCGTTAGGGTGTTGCTAGGGTGTTGTAGGTGGTCATCAAGGTGTTGCTAGGGTTTTGTGAGTGGTCATCAGGGCGTTGCGGGTGGTCGTCAGGGTGTTGCTAGGGTTTTGTTGGTGGTCATTAGGGTGTTCACCTGGGTGTTGTGTGTGGTCATCAGGATGTTGCTAGGGTGTTGTGGTCAATCATCGAGAGTGTGTGTGTGTGTGTGCGTCTCTCACCCATGTTCCATGTCCCGATGAAGACGGAGATCATGTCGGGCTCGTCCTGATTGGAATGTTTGTTCTTCATGAGTTGCAGGAGTTGGCAGAACGCTTCCCTTTTCTGCAAGAAACAACGATTAATCTATGGCTTCTGTAACACACTGTCAAACAACAGTATAAATCTGTGTGACTCACTTTTGCGCTGGCAAAGATGAAATCTTTCCTTTGGCTTTTGTCTTTTTCCTTCTCAAAGACGATTCCCAGTTTATTTTGAACACGCTGAGACTTAATCAGCTGCCGAACTACAAACACAAGAAATATCTTTAGTGCATTAAAGGGTCCATATTCCACACTTACTTTTTACCGCTAACAATGTAAGAATAACATCCTCATCCTCATCGCCGACTCACTCTTGTCGTGTGTGAACGTGTTCCAGTCCTCCTGCGCATCCTTCATTTTCTTCATCACAACCAGCTTTCCTCCCTCCACATCCACACTCAGCGAGTACTTCTGACTCTTCCCGATCTTCGTCAGGTCAGCCAGATACACGTCCAGTTTCACCTGACAACACAACACAACACACACTCATACACAATCAAGCCAAACACACAAAGGCTGGTTTGACAGGAGTATGATGTCGTACCTCAAAGGTTTGCACAGGAATGGATTTGTGTCGGATGGACATCAGCGGAGACACGGTCAGAGCGGATGAGCTCATGTCCTGAACCACCTTCAGAGCCTGACACACACACACACACACACACACACACACACGGTTTGTTTAAAAAAGCCAGAGTTAAGAGCGCTGTTAGTGAGTTCTGCAGAACAAAGCAGAAACGATTCGTCTCCCAGCCACACACAGCGGCGCTTCGTTCTTGAATGATTCACAGTTCTGAATGAATCGGGTGAGTGAATTGTTCAATGAATCATTCAAAAAAGTCAATGGAAACTTGCTTTGTTCTTGAATGTATCAGCCAGTTTGAATGAATCGGGTGAGTGAATGATTCAATGACTCATTCAAAAAGTCAATGGACACTGGCTTCTTTCTTGAATAAATCAGCCAGTTTGAATGAATCGGGTGAGTAAATGATTCGGAGACTAATTTGAAAAGTCAATGGACACTTGCTTCTTTCATAAATGAATCGGCTGGTTTGAACGAATCGGTTGAGTGAATAATTCAATGATTCGGTTTATATCACCTGCCGCCACCCTACTGGCTTTAATTTCATATATAATAGTATTATGATGGTGATTCTTTTGCTGTTAAATAACACATGAACTAATGATGTGTGTGTTTGTGTTTACCTTCTTCTCTATAGATGACAGCAGATCCTTAAGGATGGCCAGTTTGGTGACCAGATGCTCCAGCTCTTGATCTCCACCCTGAGACATGGACTACAGATCAAGTGTGTAAGTACTCATTTTATCTAAAGTGATTATTAGAGCACAAATCAAACCCTCAGCACATATAAGCACACAAACGCCAGGCAGGAAGTGATGTCACACACACTGATGTCACACCTGCTGGATCATTCTGGACACCATGGAGGCGCTTTGCTGATCGAAGACCTTGGACAGAATCTCCAGGCCACAGAGAACCTTATCCACCTCCCTGCACACACACACAGAGTGAGAGGAGGGGTAAGTGTGAGTGAGTGTGTGTGTGTGTGTGTGTGTGTGTGTGTGTGTGTGTGTGTGTGTGACTGAGTGAGTGAGTGAGTGAGTGTGTGAGTGAGTATATGAGTGAGTGAGTGAGTGAGTGTGTGTTTGAGTGTGTGAGTATATGAGTGAGTGTTTGAGTGAGTGAGTGAGTGAGTGAGTGTGTGTGTGAGTGAGTGAGCGAGTGTGTGAGTGAGTGTTTGAGTGAGTGAGTATATGAGTGAGTGAGTGAGTACATGAGTGAGTGAGTGAGTATATGAGTGAGTGAGTACATGAGTGAGTGAGGGAGTGAGTGTATGAGTGAGTGAGTGAGTGAGTACATGAGTGAGTGAGTGAGTATATGAGTGAGTGAGTACATGAGTGAGTGAGGGAGTGAGTGTATGAGTGAGTGAGTATATGAGTGAGTGAGTATATGAGTGAGTGAGTATATGAGTGAGTGAGTACATGAGTGAGTGAGTGAGTATATGAGTGAGTGAGTACATGAGTGAGTGAGGGAGTGAGTGTATGAGTGAGTGAGTATATGAGTGAGTGAGTATATGAGTGAGTGAGTACATGAGTGAGTGAGTGAGTGAGTGAGTATATAAGTGAGTGAGTACATGAGTGAGTGAGTGAGTGAGTGTTTGAGTGAGTGAGTGAGTACATGAGTGAGTGAGTACATGAGTGAGTGAGTACATGAGTGAGTGAGTGAGTACATGAGTGAGTGAGTGAGTACATGAGTGAGTGAGTGAGTGAATGAGTACATGAGTGAGTGAGAGAGTGTGTGTACCCATGCAGCCGTTTGCAGGACGACACCAGTGTTTTGTTGAGGTGAGGAAGGTTATTCGCTCCCTGTTTCACCGCCTCCAGATCCAGAGCGTAACTTCCCTTCAGATACTCGTGAGAGATCGTGCTCAAGCCGTTCGACGCCGTCACACTGAAGAGCAAAACACTCACATATCAGCATTAATGCACACACTCGTTCAGAAAATAATAATCAGACGATTTATTATTCATGCATTTGAGTTTTATTAAGTGACTTTTGCATTCAATTATAACTAGGGCTGTCAAACGATTAATCGCATCCAAAATAAAAGTTTGTGTTTACATAATATATGTGGGTGCACTGTGTATAATTATTTGATATATATAAATACACACACATGCTTGTTTATATTTAAGAAATATTTTCATGTATATAGATTTATATTATATATAAATATAAATAATTTATATATCAAATAATATTTTTTCTTAAATTTACATGCATGTGTGTGTATTTATATTATACAAAACAATTATACACAGTGCACCCACATATATTATGTAAACACAAACTTTTATTTTGGATGCGATTAATCGCGATTAATCGTTTGACAGCCCTAATTATAACACTTTAATTAAAGCCTTTATGAGAATGTGTGTTATAATGCATTATATATTTTCATACATGATTGTAAATAAAGTCAAAATGACCTTACTTCTCAGGGGGCGTGTCCTGACTGACGGGGGCGGAGCCTGTGGTACCGAGGACGGAGCTTGTGGAGGCGGTGCGAGGGGGGAGGGGGGGCTTCTCATCTTCACCATCTAAACACACACACACACACACACAGAGAGAGGCAGTGAACGAGTGGTATGTGAGTTAGAGCGTGGGTGTGTGTGTGTGTGTGTGTGTGTGTGTACCAGAGTAATCTCTCTCCTCTGTGGTCTCCTCTCTCTCCACTGGGAACTGTAGTGTGGTCACCAGACCTTGACTGGGCTGAAGATACAACTGAACCAACTCAGGAAGAGTCTTAAACCGCTTCGGCTGAACACCCTGAGACGTCTGAAACACACACACACACACACACACACTTTCAGATAACCACCAGTTTTTACCCATGACCTAAAAACAGGCCAGGGTGAATATGCGGTTAAAAAGAGAAAACACACACGAGATTAGCACAACATAATTACATTACAAACAATGTTGGTGTAGGATTTACTTTTAAACTATTTTTCATTCTGAAATTACTAAAAAAAAATAACAGCAAGTAACACACTGAATTAAACCTTAAATGTTGAAGTAGAAAGAGAGATGCTGTGCATCTTTTATGATATAATACATTAATAAATATAATACATTAATAAACCAGAACGATTCAGTTGAAATTATGAATCATGGGAACAGCGGCTTGTGTGTCTGTAATATTTCTAATATGATTATGTTTATACAGTGAAATTAAAAGCTACAAATGAGGCTTTCGACATGAGGGAAAATTATTAAAAAATAAATATATTTTCAGCTTAGACTTCTTATTATTCTTAAACAGAGTCTCAGGGATAATTCACACTGTTGTTTTCATGACAGTAGTAATATTTGAAGAGTTCAGATGCAAAAGCCTCTAAATGCCATTTAAAATTTTCTTCTTTAATGATGATTTTTATCAAACTTGTATATTTAAGTTCAGTAATTTCACTTAAATGGCAATGATAATTACCTATTAATTGGAAAATTACTGTGAAATTACTGAACTTAAATATACAAGTTTGCTAAAAATCATCATTAAATAAGAAAATTTCAAATGGCATTTAGAGGCTTTTGCATCTGAACTCTTCATTTATACATTAGTTAGTAGTTTCTTTATTTTTAAATGTGAAAACATCAACCTTTTATTTAAAAAAATTTTTTCAGTTTTTTCAGTTTCAGAAAAAGTTTTTTTTTTTAAACATTTTAAAATTGGATCCCATGATGTTGCGAATGATTTGGTTTGAAACACTCGCTTCTGTGAAAATAAACAGGATTTTCACTTCCACAAACACGTCTGATGGAGGAAGAGCAAATGACTGTGTGTGTGTGTGTGTGTGTGTGTGTGTGTGTGTATGTGTGTGTGAGTTTCTGTATTTTTGTGTGCGTGTGTTTCCGTGAGTGTGTGTATTTGTGTGTGTGTTTCTGAGTGAGTGAGTGTGTGTGTGTTTGCGTTTCTGTATGTGTGTCTCTCTTTGTGTGAGAGAGAGTGAGTGAGAGACAGACAGACAGATAGGAGACTCCTTTTTGTGCACTGAACTCAACAGCTGGTTCCACACACACACACACACACACACATACCTGCACCGCCAGAAAGTTCTCCTCGTCAGGCAGGATCCTGTATGTGTGAACGTGTTTCTGAAAC